TTGTGATTTATGCTCAAATACAGAAAAAAGCCTAGCCGTCATCATGAGTAGTAGATCGTTAGGGCACTATACGTACTGCATTCTTAACCTGGCGAAACCCATCCTTCTTCAGATTGATTTCACTGTGCAACAAATTTCAAGTTAAAAAAAGTACATGCCACTTAAGACCTGTTTAAATGTTAGAAAAGTATATTGATACTAAATCTGATCTTTTTTCCTTAGATTAGGCATCGTTTTCATGTACTTTAAATCATAATTTATCATTATTGGTTATGAATAAAAAAACAAAGAACTTTCAGTTTATACAACATTTGTCCTCTTAACCCTCTTGTGTATAGTGTCATCCTCTCTTTTTATATTCCAGCAGTAGTCTGCCAACATGCCAGGGTTCCATTTTCCTTTAAAACGTTTCTCCATCACTGAAATATCCTGATGGAATCTCTCGCCATGTTCCTCACTCACACCACCAAGATTTTCCGCAAAGAAGTCCAAATAAAAGTGGAGTACATGAACTTTAAGGGACATGTTACACTCCATATCATGATAATGACGTATTAGATCATTTATAACTTGCACATAGCCTTCTGGACGATATTTTCCAAGGAACTTATCACAAACTTTCTTGAATGACTCAAAATCAAATTTTTCTTTTTTCTTGAGATGTGTGTTGAAAGTTTCATCAAGTACAATTTTTCGAATTTTTATCTATGAACTTCTTTTATTTTAACTTGACTTAGGGAAGGGAACTTTTCTGCAAGATATGCAAATGTGAGGGAATCCTTGTCCAGGGCTTTCACAAATTGTTTAAACAAACCCAGTTTAATATGCAAAGGTGGTAAATGGATTTTATCACTTTGCAGAAGTGGTTTGTGCTTAATATTATATTTCCCTTGCTCAATTTCAATGCTTGCGTACATAATGTTCAGTTCTTGCTCTGGAGTTCCATAAGCATAGTAAACAGCAAAATTTAGTATAGCCAGACTGAAGACCTGCAAGCATGGCTACAATCTTGAAATCTGCACAAATATGATAATTATATTGTACGCTCGTTAGAATTGTTTTTAAATTTTCATATGATTCTTTTATGGTTGTGCTGTAAGCTATGGGAACAGATGGCAGAGTGTTGCCGTTGTGTAGCAAAACAGCTTTGATGCTTTCTTTGGATGCATCTAAGAAAAGTTGCCAGTTGGTGTTATCATATGGTATTTCTAGCTGTTCAAAAAGTTTAGTGACGTCATTACAGAAGAATAAGTCATGGTAAACAATACATGCAGTTTTTATGAACGTTTTCTGTACAATGTAATCTTCACTCCTTTTCTAAGAAGATCACGTTCTTTAAGCCTTGATTCTAGAAGCTCACTTTTGTCTTTGGTTAAATAGAGATCGCTACATAAGTCATTTAGAGCCTCTTGAGAAAATAGTATTGGTTTATTCATGCTTTCTAGATCATTAAGTTCTACTGTTTCATCACTGGAATGTTCATCTCCACTTCTTGAACTCCACATTTCTTGATCTGGGGGTTTTGGCACAGGCAAATCTTTTGAGTGCTCAACTGGGCGCATTGCTAATTGCAAATTTGGGTAAACAATGTGTTTCTTTTTCTTTGCCGTAGTACAGCCCGTATAGTCTTGCTGACAGAAATAGCAATCATTAGAATGATCTCTGTGCTCGCGTCAAATCATTGGCACACCAAACTTCATGTGAACATTTTTTCTTGCAAACCATGTGCTCAGTGTCTTCACACATGTAAGGCAACAGACATGAGGAGCCCATGGATTGTCTTAGTCTCCTATGTCACAATGAACAATTTCCTTGTACAATTTCTTGATATGACTTGTAATGCTGCGCTTTTCTTTAGCAAATGTTAATTCGCCACATATGTAGCAGAATCTGTTTGGATCATTTTTGCACTGTCTTGACGTCATTTTCGAAACCTATAGAAAAAGTATAAAGAAATATGAAATATATTAAATACAGGTTTTAAGGCATAACGTATTAAGTGATAAACACGGTTAAATATAAGCACATAATAATAACATATACAAAATATGTAAGCGCAATGTTGTAAGGAATTTATTTTTAACATTTTTACCGAGATTCTTGAAAGTGACAATTTTGCAAAAACTATACCTAATTCAACAAAAAGAAGGCCAGAAATGCATTTTTCATGTCATTGTGAATATAAAAATGACCACAGATGTTCTGTATTTTTTTAAGTGTTTCACAGTGTTTTCAATTAATAGTTTTTCCTTCTCCAAGATTGGTTGTAATCTTAAGGTAAGGAAGTTCAATGCATTTTCAAAGGGCAAAGTGAATGAAACAGAACCGAGGGGGAATTGAAATCGGCATTCCGAATAAAATTTTCGTACCGATAACCTAACCGTTACACTATACGTACCTCAAGATTTTGATTTTCAAAACATACAATGACTACCCACTTAGAAATCGTTTTTATAGTAGTCATTATATTTATATTCGTGTAAAATCATATATACATGATCTATCGATCTATCTATCTATCTATCTATCTATAACAAAGATTGTTTATAAATAAAAACCCGTTGACTAGTAAATTACTGGAGCATAACTCAAGATAAGTAGTGCTCAACCTTAATAAATAGAGCTTTAATAGCAAATAAATAGAAAATTCAAAGAATTTTCCCCCGAGTTAGAATTTTGCAGCGGTAAATCTGCAAATCAGGAACAGGATAAATGCTACAACTTTTGCCCCCAATTTGTGCTTACTGTAGGCTTAATTGTTATAGATTATGCAAGCTTAGGTAAGATCTACGTGATTATTTCTCAAAGACTGGGAAGAACTTTCTCACTTCTATCATAAATCAAGAGAAAATAACAAGCTGTTCATTTTCTTTTGAAATAAACTGATTATTAATTAGTCCATCAATTTTAGCATAAATAGACTTAATTGATTTTATAATTTACTTAATTTTGAATTTTTCATGTTTTCGCTTTCCACAAATTCATAATCGATTCTGCTAAGGACAAATTGTCTTTTCCCCTCTTTTTCTCTTCACTGTTCGGTCGATAAAAAATTCATAATTATTTGTAAATCAAAATAAAAAAAAAGATATTTTTGTTTTATCATAAATGGCTAAAATGAAAATAGTCGTTCAATTTAGCAGGTTATACAACCAACGGCACATATTTAGACAGTGGTTGGAATAGAGTAGCGAATGGCTTATGCGGTGATTTAAATCACCATCAAGTATTTTACTCAGTAAATTTTGAAAAAGACACATTAACACATACACGTATATAGATGATCAGAAATCGAAAGGTACATTGGAATAGCGAAAGATACAGTCTAATAGCTAGACAGTATTAAGAAACGGGGAAATTTCGTTAGAATCAAAGAAAGGTGTGTTGAACTGCTATGTATTATCCATCCTACTCAGTAAACGGTGGACTGTTTCCTCACAGATGAAGAGGAGACTTGAGGTAAAAGTAGTTTTACTTAAGTATGCTGAGAATGCCATGAACAGAACCAATGAGTAAGTTTTAAGAAAAATACAAAGAAAACAACTTGTATATACAATCAGAATGAAGTGTTTGAAATTTCCGGGATACATATACAGGAAAGCGAGATTGGAGGGTTTGAAACTCACAGGACAGGTAAAGAGGGAAAAGGGGAACAGGGAGTAACCTACTTAAGGACCTTGTGCAAATGGATGACAGAAGAGGGACTCGGAGGGGTAGCAGGGAGACAAACATTACTTCGAGCTACGAAGGATAGAAAGTTAGGAAAATATCCAATTATTTACTATTAATTATCATCTAAGGTAGTGATGAATTCGCCATTTTAAATTACTACACTCGGGATTTTAACTCGTTGCCTTTTCGTTAACATTTCATGTGTGATTTTAGTTTTTGAAAAAAGCAGAAATCGTAATTTTTTCAACACTCCCAGTCCAAGTCATTCGGTTAATGTCAATACTACGGTCACTTAGCACACAAATTCGCTCATTAGTGACTGTTTATACATGCGCAATAAAGTCTCCTCTGACTGACTATCAAGTTAAATCTTGGCCATGCAATCAGTTCTTGTGATATTCAAATTGGTTGAAAACGTTTAGGACAATATATATATATATATATAAACATTAAAGTCTTGCCACTGAATGTGCAGGAGACGCCTGAGGCAGCGGAGGTGAAAGGTGTTTTACCTCTTCTCCTGACTGGTGTAAGTTGTTCAGGACTCGGTGCCGTACAGAAGAGTGCTGAGGACGCAGGCCCAGTAGACTAGTAGTTTTGTGTTCTCCGTCAGCTGGCTGTTGTTCCAGACGCGCTTGTTTAGCTTGGCCATTACTGCGTTGGCTTTCCCTATCCTGGAGCTGATCTCTGTGTACAGGGAGAGGGAGCTGGAGATGATCGACCCGAGGTAGGGGAAGGAGTCTACCACCTTGAGGTCCGTGCCGTTGATGGCAACGTCCGGGGAGGGGGCGGTGTCTTGTGCCAGGATGTTGGTCTTTTTGAACTCCTTGCAGGCATGGGCCAAACGACTGACTAATTCTTGCAGACCGTCCTCCGTGTGGGACGTCAGCGCAGCGTCATCGGCAAACAGCAATTCACGAATGAGGACCTCACGGACCTTGGTCTTAGCGCGCAGTCGGGCGATGTTGTAGAGTTTGCCGTCTGCTCTAGTGCGGATGTAGATGCCCTCCGTGCAGTCACAGAAGGCGTACCGGAGAAGCAAGAAGATTCCAAAGAGTGTCGGCGCGAGGACACAGCCCTGCTTTACGCCGCTGCTCACAGGGAAGGCGTCGGATGTCCCGCCGTTGTAGCAGACTGTACTGTGCATGTCCTCGTGGAAGGACTTGACCATCTGGAGCAGTCTTGGGGACATCGTACTCTCCTCTCCAGGAGGACGAAGAGTCTGCTTCTGCTGACCAAGTCGAAGGCCTTCGTCAGGTTAATAAAGGCGATATAGAGTGGTTTCTGTAGCTCGCAGCACTTCTCCTGCAGTTGGCGCAGCGAGAAGATTATGTCCACTGTAGATCGGCCTGCCCTGATGCCACACTGCGACTCGGGTTACACACGGGAGGCGAGGCTCTACAGGCGTGGCAATATGACGCGGGCAAAGACTGTCCGACGACGCTGAGGAGGGAAATGCTGCGGTAGTTATTGCAGTCGCTGCGGTCACCTTTATTCTTATAGAGGGTGACAATGTTGGCATCTCGCATGTCCCGGGGAACGTGGCCCTTCTCCCAGCACAGGCAAGGAGCTCGTGGAAATCCTGCAGCAGAGCCGGCTTGCCACTCTTCAGAACATCTGATGGGATCCCGTCCATCCCAGGGGCCCTCCCGCAAGAGAGACAGTCGATAGCTTTTCCGAGTTCTTCCGCAGAGAGCGGGGCATCCAACTCCTCCATGACTGGGCGACTGGGCAAGGCATCCAGGGCGGCCTCCGTCACCACGTTCTGGGTTGCATACAGCTCCAGGTAGTGCTCCACCCAGCCCCCCAGCTGCTTGCCCCTGTCCTCTCCCGCCCCGCAGTTCAGCGGAGCCGTCTGGATCCTGTTGCATAGGTTCAGCTAGTAGTCATTGGCGCAGCGGCGTGCAGTCTGTTGGGCCCTTCTGCAAGCAGCTCTGAAGGCATCGCGGGTATTGACGCAAGGGTTATGCTTGTAGACCAGAAGTGCTTGTCTCTTGGCTTCAGAGGCCGGCTGTATCTCATCCCAGTGAGCTTGATACTAGTCCGCATTTCGACGATACTTCTTCCCGAACGCTGTAAGGGCTGAGGTGTATATGGTATCACGGAAGTGGTGCAATCTACTGTCGATGTCAGCGGCACTGAAGGAGGATATGCGCTAAAGGTGGTTTGGAAGCGGCGTGAGCTCTCAGGGTCATTGGGGCGACATGTGTTGATGCGAGGGAGGCCCTTGGTTTTGGAGCGGTGTATTTTCTTGGCTGTCAGTCTCACTTTGCAGCCTACTAGGGAGTGGTCCATGTCACAGTTTGCGCTGTGGAAGCTCCGAGTGTGAAGAACGATCCTTAGGTCTGCACGCCTGGTGATGGCAAGGTCGAGCTGGTGCCAGTGTCGAGAACGGGGGTGTCTTCAAGTGACTTTGTGGCGTTCTTTGCACTTGAAGTAGGTGTTCGTTTCGCACAGTCCTTGGTGGCAGTACAGTTCCAGCAGCTGCTGTCCATTCTCATTCATCTTGCCTATGTCCTGACGGCCGAGGCAAGATGGCCACAATCGACTCCCACACTGGCATTTAATTTTCTCAATAGGGATAATCCTTCAGTATTGGGGTTCCTTGATATCGTCTCATCCAGTGTCTCATAGAACTGGTCCCTGATCTCTGGGGTGGTGCAGAACATTGGCGCGTAGATGCAGAGGACGTTGGCGAAACCCGTAGATGTTAAGAGACGCAGTGCTAGGATTCTCTTAGATCCGCCAGTTGGTGGTACAATGGCTGGTATCAGCGAGTTCTTCACGGCGAAGCCTACGCCGTGATGCCTTGAGTCATCCTGAGGCAGGTTCTGCCAGAACAAGGTGTAGTTGGCCGCTCTGATGGAACCGCTGTCAGCCAGACGAGTCTCTTGCAGGCGATGTCAGTGCCCAGCCTTGAGAGTTCCCTGTCTATGACCGCGGTCTTTCGAGCATATGTTGGATGTCATCTGCGAGTCCATGGCGCATAGTCCGGACGTTCCAGCTCGCAAACCGAAAAGCTGGAATCTTCGTGTTTCTTTCTTTCTTGCCTGGTGCGGGATTTACAGCTTGCTTGTCAGGAGGATCAGTCCCTGAGACCTACACACCCAGTAAATATATATATATATACCGGATGAAATAGCAAAATTGTCCAAATTGTATAAAAGCAAAATTGTCCATTTATTAGATTAAGCTTTGAACCGTTGTATCTTAGAAATGATTAAAGATATCTTACTGGAATTCTCTGGGATTTTTATAACACTGTTGGACCCTACTTTGAGCAATAAGAATGTATAATCACTCTACAAGCTTAACAGAAGAATCGTGATGAAATCGATCATAAACGAAATGACACATTCATCATTAATTAATCATAGTTAAGGCTCAGAAGCTCATGAAGGATAGAAATTAAGTTCAAAATAAATATATATTATTCCAGGATCATTTTCCATCTTATTCAAGATTATCTTCGCCCTCTCTAACCTTCTAACTTTCTGTCCTAGAGTAACAAGATGCTTCACAGGTTTCACGTACGATTTCACTGCTCTTTGGACTGTCATAGCTGAAACTCCTCTCTCATATGCCAAGCGTCTTATGATGATGATCCCGGTTTTGTGTTGTGACCTCCTGATCCCGTTTTCCACTTTACTGTTCCCTCTTATTTTATCTTATTCACCGTTCTCTTTATGGTTGTTAAATGGACTTTGAAGATGGAAGCCAGAGTTTAATGTTGGTACTATTACTGAAGGCCTGAATGATCTTTTTCCTCTCACCATTGCTCATTTGGGAAGACAGTGGGTCTGACACAAAACGATTTTAACCTGTTTTCTTTCTAGTTGAATAATGATTTTCAGTGATTCTTACAACAAATGGTATCAAAATGGATAAAAGTCAAAGGGAAAAATAAATTCAATTAGTTTTGTAGTTTTTTTTAGATATTAAACATTTTGTGCGATGGACAATTATACTGTTACACGATTTGGACAATTTTGCCATTACACCCGGTATATATATCAGTTGTTAAGCCTGAAAAACTGGTTGACTCGTCTTTCTCGCTAGAATGTATATTACACATTCATCTGTGCATTGAATGTTGCTACCACAACTGATGCTTCTACTATATATTTCGATTTACTTGACAGAATCCGAAAAGAATCTGCAATTTTATCTGTCTTGACCTTGCATCTCGGTTTCGGTCACTTTCTCACCGACGTAACGTCGCTATTGATATCGTAGATTAATTCATTTACATACGTAAAATCAGGATATATTTGGTTTAAGGTGTTTTTGGTTCTTTTCATTCGTTTTGGGACTGAGAAATGTGTGTGTGTATGTATGTGTGTGTCCGTGTGTATAATACAGTAGGAACATAGTTGCCAATCAAATTCCCTGGTATACTGAGTCAACACAACCAACTCAGAATCAGTAGAGACCTCTCAAGTCTTTTATCTTTTGGAAACGGAGTGAAACGGTAGTGGTCTGGCTCACACATATGCAGTTCAATGTTTTTCAGTCTGAAGTTGAAACCGGCTTCGGAGGGGGTGAATGACGTCGAAAACATATACATCGGCATATGTCTAAGTGGTAACCTATTCAAGCTAAAACAGATTCGAGCCAATGTCAAGACTACATTACAATTAGTCAAGGTCTTCGCAGACGACGTTGCTCACTCAGAGTTAGCACTACAAAAAGTAATATTCTGCTTTGAAAACTCTCATCCTCCACTAGCTTTCGTCCCATCAGAGAGTAGCTGAACATTGTTTACGACTTTACCTACCTGAGGCGCGTTATATCCAATAAGGCCAAACTAAGTAAATATGCTGACAACAGACTGGCAAAAGCAAACGAAGCCTTTGGAAGAAGCATGTCTGGAGTAGCAAGACTAAAGGCCTATAAAGCTCACTTTTTTCTTTGCTGTTAAAATCTTGGATTTCGCCTCCTCGAGCACTTTCACCAGCACTACATCTGTGATTTTCACAAAGTGAACTGATGCAACTTCGGCACAAATAGCAAAGACATCAGCATTGAAAGCATTGAAACCTTGTTTCAATATATAAATAAACAAAATAAAATAACAATAAAAATAAAGGAAAACAATTGCATTGGGCTGGCCATATATTGTCGAAGGAAGAACATCGATTCTGCTATTCGCCGACTTGGCTTTCTATTAACGTAACAGAATAGTATCGCTAATGAGTACAGGGATTCCTTATAAAAAAAAACCCTCTTCTCATGTGGTATTGATTGACCATCATAAATGGATAAAGAAAGCTGATGAAATGTCTTCTTGGTACCACCTTCACTGATGCAATGTCATAATAATAAGAAGTAAACTCATGACGACAAGAACTCTCTCTCTCCACCACACATATACGCGCCAGCCCGCACGCACGCACGCACGTACGCACGCACGCACGCACGCACACACACACACACACACACACACACACACACACACACACACACATATATATATATATATATATCTGTTTGTCTGACGATCGCTAAAGCGTGAAACCCAGGGTCACAAACTCACATCTATCCAACCAAATATGTTAGCTCTATCTCTGATATTGAGCGCTTTCTAATAAGTACCGCGCATATAATATATAAATAATTATACACATATATATTTATTTATATTTATATACACTTTTCACACACACACACACACACACACACACACACACACACACATATATATATATATATATATATATATATATATAAGATCAATAAAATCAAATATATTAAAAGGGCATTCATAAAAAATAAACAATTATACAAAAAGAGGTCAACAAACATATATTTGCCGTAAATTGGTAACACTGAATTTTAATGATTAAAAACAGATAAACCCGGTTTATCGATCCTCTCTCATCAGAGAAAAAAATATGCACAGAGGACAAAAAATATGAACAGCGACTCAAAAATACACAACCTTAGAAAACCCCAATTCGTTTCAATAGGCTATTTTTGAAATTGTGTTTGGAGAATCGAGTGTGCCTTACGTATATTAGTTTTTGCATTACTAGGGCGAAGCTTAATCTGCTGTAGGTTGCCATTTCTTTCTGCGGTAGACCAGTTTCCACCCAAGGCTATAGAACACGGCTTGTACTGCTATCTACCTATAGCTGGGGGAGAAGAATAGGATTCATACCTTTCCCAAGGGTATTAGAACATAAGTGAATGTAATGGATTCGACTGGAATTCGATCTCGACTCACCGATTCCTCAATCCGAGCCCCTATTCAGTACTCCACCGCGCCTCCGTAGAACCAATAAGGCAGGTCGATTTTGGAACCGTGGTATTGTACTCAGTTTGAAAGTTGGGGTTTGAGATGATAGATAATGACACAAAAGATTTTTTTCAAATCCTCGCCGTTTTTTTGAGGAAATAAATTTAAAGATGAAGTCTAAATGGGAACGTTAGAATCTCATACTGGAAATCAGTGAAAGCACAGCCTTATAAAACTTATAATTGAAATATATGCAGTTAGTAGTTGGTTTGAAATTAAAAGAAATAATAAATTTCATGTCCAATAACAGTATATCTTAAACATGATCCAGAAAAGAAAGCAACAGTCGACTGAAATATAAAATGTTATATTAAAAAACTTACAGCACAATGCTTTCAGCTTACTTCCAAAAAATATTATTTTCTGAATGTTGAAGTCAGATGAATTGGAGGTGCTGGAAGAGGCTATAAATTTTGTTAAACATTTATTTGTACATAATTAGTTATGTCATTAGTAGCAATCCACTAAAGAAGAGATTAAAAAATTGCATCCATTAATTGTGAAGCGATACACTAGTTAAATTTTATTAACCTTTCACAAAATAGAGTTTGTGAATCTGCGCTTGCAGACATTTTTTCAAATAATAAACTGCAGGAGGTTATAATAAATGGAACAGAACTGTTAAATTAACTACTGAAACTTCACAAATTTTATACGGACAAAGAAGCAACGCACAAGTACTTTATTAGTAAATCATTGTGCCATCAAATAAGACCGTAAGTTACTCCTAAGGGAAATTATACTGAAAAAATTTAGCAATATTATGATGTAATGTGTTATACAGTGCAGTGATTTTAGTGCGATTTTCAATAAACAATGCAATTTTAAAACATTTTGTCTTATAATTTGTGCCTTATATACACTTTTATCTTTTTTTTTTGTTTTTATTAATTATATTCTAATAAATGGCGTAAGATCTTATTCATTCATTAGAATTTTATGTAATCTTACAATCTTCACTTATCAAGTAAAATAACAAATTGCATATTTTGCTTGTAGTGATTCATAATTAGAATTCTGGTTTGAATATATTTTCCATTTAGTATATGTAATATAAAAATATCAAATTTAATTAGAGTTATTCTACAAATAGTAAAATTCTAAAGTCAGTTTGTAAGCAAATTCCAAACTGATTTCAGAAATTAGGTATATCTATAGATTATTTTCTGACGATGTTTAAAACTAAATGCTCAAAAATTAGAAAAGGCTATTAATATAAGTTTTGGTGTCAATACTTATCACATCAAACTCTGGCTTCCGCATTCAGTGCAATGTTGATTGTCTCAAATGAAATGAAAAATCAACCTACCATAATGTGCCAATGCAATATTTCTCAAGGGAAAACAATCAAACACACTCAATATTACTCCAGATAAGAAAACTAAAATAAAAGAAATTAGAAGCTGAGAGGAGTTATAAGAACTTGTGCTTTAGAAGATGAGGGAACATTCATTAATGAGAAGAATATTACAAAGAAATGCTATCGCAGAATAAAAGTGATTCTGAAAACAAACTTGAATGCCAGAAACAAAACTAAAACAATAAACTCACTAGCCATGCAATGTAATCACATACAGCTTCAATGTTATTAACTGGTCCACCTCCGAGAGGAAAACGGTTGATACCAAAATACAAAAGCTTCCCACAATGCATCGTATGTACAATCCAAGATCAGACATCTTGAGGTAGATCAAACACACATGAGTGGCTGGAAGGTTCTGCTCTTAAACCAGAAACTGGGGTATTCATAAGTGCTACTCAGGATCCGTGCGTATGTTGAGAACATCCAGAGACATTTACCTACATAATATCTGGGTGTGACCAATTTGCAATATGATAGGACTGTTCAGTACATACATTGGTTAATATGTCGCACATTAAAAATTGGTGGAACCTAAGTCACCACAAGTTGTACGAAATGACGTTACCATTCAGCATAAAACTAATAGAGAAATTCAGGAAACTCGACAAGATATGATTGTGAAAAAAACATTTATCTTCTGATAGATGTTGCAGCCTCAGTTGACAAAAACACATCCTTGAAAACGTTTGAGAAAGTACAAGAACCTCAAGATAGAAATCAGTCGAATGTGGCATCTCAGGGCAGATCATTACCTGTAGTTATTGAGGTTCTGCGAATGAATTAAATGAAGGAAACAAATATGCGGGATAAATTCTGATAACACTAAAATATGTGAATCGTAAAAAATCATACTCATGGATATTTCTGCGTAGATTTCTTTCAATTTATGCGACACGCAATTACATGTTTTTACTTCCTCTGATTACATGCCGCCTCATCTATTTGTATCTTCTGATACAAAAAAATTGTCTCTTGAAGTCTCTGGTTGAGAAAGATCCTACTACAGAAAGTGACAGCAACAAATAATAATAATCAAGAAAATTATGAAAAATTATGTTACACAAAAATGCAGATTCTATGATAAATATCCTAAAAAAATGAACATCTTGTATTGACACCCACTGAATATAAAACACGGCATGCCGTGTTTTATATTCAGTGGGAGGGCAAATATCTACACTGGAAAATCTTCATCTTCTACGGAAGCCGTCACTTTGTTGGTGTACTGCTCTCTCATTCATTCATTGTAAATGTGATGGAAATTTTTTATTAACAAAATATTCATTAATTTTTTTTTTTTATCATAATTCATATTAATACATAAAATGTTTATTTTCTCCAGTTTTTAAAACTGAAGCTACAAATCAATTGTTATAACGCAATTCGAGTTTGAAATGCAGATTTGCCTTTATATAATTTTATATATTATATATTTATATTTTATATATATATATATATATATATATATATATATATATATATATATATATATATATATATATATATATATATATATATATATATATATATATATATATATAAACCTTATATAATTAATATAGATGAATAAATTCTTTTCTAAAAATTGATTTCGTAATCTTTTTTCTAAAGAAAAATTAAATTTTATTGAGGTGATTACATTTTTAATTTTTTCAAATTAACCTCTCATTAGAAAAGAGGCCACATTAAAGCATTTTGTGCCTTGTTAAATGGCATTCGATGACGATTAATTATTTGATTGAAGTTCATACCATTTATGGTAGAGAAAACAGAATTGTATGGAAAAACTTATCATTTATGAATTGCCAATAATCAAAATCGCAATCATTATATGCAACTGTAAATAAGACGTTGATATTCAGTTTGGAAAACAAAAAGTATTAAAACACTTTCTATCAAACAAGCATATTTACATCAAATAAATGAAAAATACAAGAAATAACAAATTTAGATAGTAAATATGACAAAAAGAATGGAGAAAAAAAAGATAAGAAAAGGAATTGTAAGAAAAGAAAGAATTCGTGAACAAAGAGAAATAAGAAATATAAGAAATTGAGAAAAGCGGAGGAAATGAGAAAGGAAAAGAAAAATGGGTTATGATTTTAGAAATGATTTCCATCATTTAGAAAAAGAAAAAGGAATGCAACAAAAATGGGTAAAATTATTGTCACAGATAAAAAAAAAAAAGGAATTTTTAAAAAATCCACAAAAATCTTATATAAAATACGAAATATAAAAAAAACAACAACAAAAACAGAAAACAAAACAAGCAATGAAAATGAATTTATATTTTTCCCCTCATTTACTCTCTTCTCAGCTATTTGTTTTTAGACTTTTTTTTCAGAAGCAGACGATTAAAAAAGAGGTCTAGAAGTGTATATTTTGCCATAGTTATTTTGGTTCAGACAGCAGTGAAAGGAAAATATTAATGAGTGAAAAATATGTTCGAAATCTATGAATGGAAAGTAAAGAAAGAGGCTATATGTGAGTAAATAGAAGGAATCATAAAAGGGATGAAAGGAAATAACGAAAGTTTAAAAAGAAAAAGGATAAAAGTAGGTTTTAAAATAAACTGAGAAATGAAAAAAAAATATTTTTAGCTAAATGCCAATAAAGGAATCACCAGTGTTTAATGCGTGCAAACTGAAACGCAATTCTATTGTATATTAGTACTTTTCAGTGTAATTTGAAGTTGTTAGTTTTCTCATCTTTTGGGTTTCTCTATCATTTTCATTTGGGCAATCTGTGTTCATATCTACTTAACTTAAAAAAAAATGATTTCATCCAAAGCAAAGCAATAAAGCACCAAGACGCAAGGGGTTTACTGAATGTGAAAGAATATGAAAAAAAGAACATTATTAAGGAATAAGAGAAGAACAATAAAAGAACAGGAATTAAGAAGACACAAGATAACGATGTAATGGCATTTAATTTTTTAAAGCTCAATTTGATTGCAGAGCAAGAAGCAGGAAATATGTTCTAGAAACGAGAAGTGCGAGAGAAGGCACTGTTAGCACAGAACTTACATCTAGCAATTTCTACCCGTGGCTGCCAATCTAGTACTGCATTTAAATTCGTAATATCGAGGTACCAAAGAAGAAAGCTCTTCAGAACAATTACCATCAAGATATTCATAGAAAAGGCATAATGAAGCTAAATGAAAGTGATGGGAAGATAACTGAAGCCGAGATGCCAGGTCAGGACCGGTAACTCTTATCAAAAATCTAAATTTAAACACCTCAGCTTCAGTTGCAGAAGTTGCGTCAAACTAGATGTGACGTCAGTATTCAATGTATATCTTGTGTACATGTCTATTTAATTTTTATTCATCTCTCCTTTATCTATGGATCTGGTTGTTGCTGTTGGGGAACGTGACTATTCTTTTGTTTGAAATCGGATAAAACCTATTTGATAGTGACTTTATTCTTAAGCAAATAAATTCGCTTAATATATATATATATATATATATATATATATATATATATATATATATATATATATATATATATATATTTAAATAAGATATCTCTTCAGGACGTAGACATTATGGCTTTTCACAGATTCCTTCATTTATTGATTTATTTTTATGAATTGCCATGCTTTTTTGAAAACTGTTTCCATTACTTTCTCCAAATTTTGGAATTCAAAATTCTCCTTCTCTTAGGCTCGTTGTGTCTCAAGGCTACAGGGACCAGTATTCTTTGCTATTTATCCCAGTGATAGTGGGGACTAAAGAAATGAATTCATTCCTTTCTCCAGGGCATTAGTGCAAAAGATAACCCACCAGAATTTAAAATCCACTTTACACATAGCCGTTACACTATCCGCAAACCCACCTATATTTATTCATAAAATTTTTTTAAAATAATGGTGGACTATGGTTAGTAAAAACTTTCTGCATACAGTAAAATAAAATAGGCTAGAAAACAGATTTACACACCCAGATGGATACATATGCATGCTCAGATGTACCCATTTGTAAATAAATTTTCAGTGTAATTTGGTATATATTTCATATTATTTCTTCGTATCACTTATAAATGAGCAAATAAATAGATTTAAGGAAGAATTTTCAACGACTTACGCACGCGTTTGTGCTTATTCCAGAAGGTTGCTTGTCATCCATAACCACATTGACACCGCTACATTTTTAGTAGCGAGTAGCTCTTACCGGGTGGAGTTGTTAATCTACCGATTTTGAATTCAGAATTTTCCTTTCTGGGTACTATACAAGAATAGAGACTTTTTACTTATTGTTGGTGGCAGTGGGTAGAAAAGATGGACTTTCAGAAAAACATTAGAGTGAAAACTCAGAATACCTTAGATGGAATTTGAACTCGGCTCCCAGATTCTATTTTTCGTGTTATCATCGACACCTGTGATCTTCCTTAAAAAAGGAGATAGAAATTAGTGAAATGCCAAAGAGAGAAAAAAAACAAGGAGGCAGGATATATATATATATATATATATATATATATATATATATATATATAGCGAAGGAGAGAGCATCTATAAAGAAATAGAAGTGTGACGGTTACACACCTGGCCCAGTGTCGGATCCTTTGGTTAATTTCGGTGACGTCGCTCCTCCTGGTCGCTCCTCCTGGGTCCAAGCGTGCCGCTCCAACCCTTTGGTCAGATGATCACCAGCCTCGCCTTTCCCGACTCGCTTCCAATACCTGGTCACTAAAGCAACTATACCGATCTCCGGTCTGTCTACCCACGCTGTGTTTAGATCTTAGACAGACGGGACCAGCAGGGATCGGGGCCGATACAAGTTGAGTCCGACGGGGGTGGCAAAACACAAATAAAATAAAAACTCACGACACCAAACAAAATTGCCGATAAAAAAGGGTAACAACCTTTTATATCTTAAAGTCCGTTACATAAAAACAAAATTGTTCTCAATTCCCGACCCGTTCTGTGAACTATGGCACCAAGCTTCTATCACAAAAATAGCAAAAAAAAAATGTCGAACTACCTACTTTCTAGAATCATGTATGTATGTCGGAGTGTGGTTCAGTTCGACACTGGGGCTAATTTCTATCGATCATTCGCAGTTGATTCTTCTCTCCGACTAGAGTTGTATTTCAGGTAGATTTCTTGTTTCAACCCAGTGGAAGATTTCTTTTCAGTGGAAGATTTCTTGCTTCGATTCAGTGGAAGATTTCTTGCTTCGATTCAGTGGAAGATTTCTTGTCTTCAACTTGGGCTGAAGGATTTCTTGTTTCGAGGATTCTTCTGTCGTCCGAGGTGAACTGCAACTCACGCCCAACCTAACTCCAACTTCAACTCAATCTTCAGCTCCAACTTCAGCTCCAACTCTTCTCAGGTTTTCAGGCAATCTTCTTCTTCATCTACTTGGGCTGGAAGTTCTTCTGTCTTCGACTTGGGCTGGAAGTCCTTCTGTCTGAGGGTTCTTTTTGCCCGCAAAGGGGCGAGTGAATCGGGTCTTATGTCCGCGTTCAGGATCTTCCCCTGCCCGCGGTCCTGCTGCAACTCAGCCCAACTCCGGCTGCATCTCCAACTCAAACTTCTTCTCTTCGGCTTCTGAATTATTGTTCACTCATCTCCGCTGTCAGTGCGCGAAATAAATTGAGCCGGGCCCGCAGCCCGCGCTCAAACTCCTTCTTCATCCGAGGCGCAGCTCCAACTGATTTCTGCCGACTGGGGTCCTGCTTATATTGACGCCGCAACAAACCAGGGGTGGGTCGGTCGGCGTCAGGGGTTTCTCGATAATTTCAAAAGTCGTATTAATTTTGACTTTCCATTATCGTTATTGTTTTCACCCCACTTTCTCACAGAGCTCTTGGTGGGGCGGCGCATATCTATTTCTCTTAGTCTCTCTCAAGGTGATCGCTCTCAACCAATCGCTCCCGATCGAACCTTTCTTTCTCTTCTTTTCCGTAGCCCACGTGACCGCCTCGTCCAACAGTTATTGATCGAGGTTTCTTTCCTTCTTCTTCCGCGGTCACGTGATTGTATTCGACCAATTGTTATTGACCGAACACCCTCTCCCTTTTGTTGGCGGGGTGTGGTTACCTCGTGCTGGTTTTAAAAAAACAAAATCCGATTTCGCACCTTTTTGCACGTACGCAAAATGACAATCTTTAGCTTTCTTTCACCTGGACTTTGTCAAACAGCCCGCTGCTAATTAGTCTTGACTTTAGAAAAGGTTCTTTTCCGCCTTCTTGGCGCCCTCTGTGGTCCAAAACAATTGCTCTTCTTTTTTACCTCTTTGTTTTTCCTGATAGTCGAAAATCTTAATTATCTAGGTCGAAATATCTCCACTTTCTTAACGTGGGTGTCCAATTCTTAACAGGTCAATTCCGTATATCGTTTTCACCAGTCACTTCCCCAGCCCAAAGACACTTTCTCTCAGATCACAAATTTCGTTTCTATTGTTCAAAAGAAAAAAAAATAAAAATTTCTCTTCACTCCAAATTGATAAGGAGTTTTCCACGCAAGAGTCGGTCAGAGGCCTCTGACCGACATCTGGTCGATATCATGTCTTTTTCCCTTTCTTTCCCCCTTTTGTTATTATCTTTCCTTTCTTCCTTTTTCCTTTCTTTCTTTTTCCTTGCTTTAGGATCGTTTAGTACATTCTTAGTGAATTATTTTCAACCCAGTTATTTTCCGTTTTAAAGAAAAAAAAATTAACAACCTGTTTAATAAACTGAATAAGAAAAAATTAACTCATATTTCTATGAATATTTCCAATAAATGCAAGGTGCCATAATCCTCCCTCCGATTTGTCATTTACCCGTAAATGACACCCAAAACCCAATTACATCATTTAACATGCACCATGCATTTGTCTCATGCAATTCTATTCTACTTTCTAACATGCAAGGTAATGTTCTTTCCATTTTCTTTTGTTCTACATGCAATGAAATGTTCTTTTCATTTTCTTTTTGTCTACATGCAATGAAATGTTCTTTTCATTTTCTTTTTGTTCTACAGGCAATGTAATGTTCTTTCATTTTTCTGTTCTACATGCAATGAAATGTTCTTTTCATTTTCTTCTGTTCTACATGCAATGAAATGTTCTTTTCATTTTCTTTTTGTTCTACATGCAATGAAATGTTCTTTTCATTTTCTTTTTGATCTACATGCAAT